AATTATTTTTAGCTTCTTTCTTCTACCCCTACCTCTTTGAGTCCTGTTGTTGTCATTGTTTTGATGATTCATTCTGCTACATCCAAGGGCAGAGCCTCAGTTTCTTTCTTTCTTTCCTTCCTTCCCCCCCACTTTCTTTCTTTCTTTCTTTCTTTCGCCTTATATTGGGCTCTGGAAAGGCAAAATTGTTTTAAGCTATAGATTTACCACTTTAGTTTCAGCTTAGATAGGCTGCATCTTGTACTTACCCCTATGTTTGGTGCACAAATGTTCTCTGACCCAACTTCAGGTTTTCTTCAGTTTTGTATTCAGCGCATCATTCAATCTGGAAAATGTCACACACGTGAGTTCTTAAAGTAGGCCCTCAAGGTAATCTCAGACAGTAGCACGGGGAGTCCTAATAGCCTAGCAGGTGTCAGCATAAACAAGAATGATCTTGACTCTCGATCAAATAGACCTGTGATCAAATTTCTTCACTGGCATTTTTTTACAAGTCTTTATAATCTTTAGAAAATTACAGTGGTGCCTCGATTTATGAATTTAATTCCTTGCACGATGCTGGTCACAGAGTTTACTCCAGGATTCCGGCTGCAACCAAGTTGAACACTAGTTCCTTAAAATGAAAGTGGGATTTGAACCACGTAACAAAGCTTTTCTGAGGGTTAGGACACAGCGTGCACAGTCCCGGTACAGTGACTTGCCGTTTCCCCTCTGCACCATTCACCTGCTAAGGATCAGCCATCGTCTTAGCACTTCTGCAACCGAATTTTAAGGGAACAAGCCCCAAATCAGACATTTATCGAGAGAGAAATATAGTCCTGCCTACGAATTCAGACAAAGGTCATGGGGGGTGGTCAAGCATTCTAGTAACACTAACATTTCTCAAGAGTTATCTATGGAAGGCCAGGGATTTAGCTCAGCAGTTCGGTGGCCTGTCTTGCAAGCGCAAGGACCCGAGTTCAATCCCTGGTACCCCCCCAAAAAGTTATCTATGACCAATATGAGGGCAGATCCATACACCCAGTTGGCGCTAACATTAACCTGCTTTTCTCCAATACAGAAGAACTCCTGAGATTCTTTTAAAAGTTCCTAAGCCAGTCAAAACTCCTAGGATTATTCTCAGCCTAGAACTGAACCCCAGGTGAAATGGTGTGTGTGTGTGTGTGTGTGTGTGTGTGTGTAGAGGAAAATTATTCTGTTGCTGTTCAGAGGGTCCTGGCGCCTTCTGATCCTGTCTTGTAGGTCCAGTGAAATCACTAGTCCATAACACAAATCTTCCTAATGAAAGAATATTTTTCCTACTGAGGCGGGAGCTAGCACATTGCAACGTGTCTGGAGCAGCTGGGCACGAGCTGCCCTTTCCAGAGCCTTGTTAACCACAGGTGCAGAGCGGTAGCTCCCGGCCTCCCACGAGATGAAGCAGAGAGACCTGCCCCTGGTACCAATTGTGACGCCAGAACACGCCGAACCTGGCCCCGGATATCAACCTTCTGATGTGTGAACAAGCCCAGCCTAGCACCTGATGCCAACCTTCCAGCACGCGATCAAGGAGGACCACCTGGATCAACTCTGGAGGAAAACATAAAAGGACGGCAGCCAGCGCCCTTCTCATTTTGCGGGGGTGCCATGCCGCTTGTAGGGTGTATCTCCTCTTTGTCCCTCCTAAGCGCCCTTTTCCTTTTCTCGTTTTTGTCCTAGTCAAGCGTTAATCTTCCGCGTTCGCCCATTGTTCGGTCCAAGGAACTGGACAGGACGGTGAGAACCCGGAAACTGGTGCTGGTTCCCTCACCACCTCGTGACGCTGCTATTTAGACTGCACGAGTCTTTCAAAGTTACCAAATTTAAAACTTTTTGTTTGAGCTAAGCAGCAGAATATGCCTTTGATTATATTTTAAAGTTAAACTCTTTCTGTGAATATTTTTTTTCCTCCAGCATTTTTTGTTTTGGCGTAGTTAAGAAAGTAAGATATCTGCCAGAAAATACTTTCAGACGATCCTAACGGTATCGCTGACATTGTGAAATAGGAAGAAGAGGGCTTAAAGGTGTAGGGGAAATAAGGGAAAAATATGAGAAAACGAAAAAATGGAAACAGTTTTTGTAAATGGGGAAGGGAAGCGGGGGTGAAGGGAGGGCAGGGTTGGGGGAAAAAGTTAAAACCTAAGACCAGTCATGTGAAGATGCAAGATCCCAATGATGAATGTAACTACTGTATACCTAAAAAGGACCAATAAACTTAATGAGAAAAAATTTTTAAAAAATAACTTTCAGAAATAGCTCTTTTAGCCGGGGATTCAGCTCAGTCATGCTGAGACTGCTTGGAAAGCACAAAGTCCTAAGTTCAATTCCCAGTACCAAGAAAAAAGAACAAAGAGCCCTTTTGATAACTTCTAGTTCTAGGGATAAAAAATCGAGGGATATAAAAGTGACTATGATCACACTGCTCTTGGGCCTGCTGTTTTTCTGACTTGCAAATTTAGAGAACAACTGGTTTTAGTTTTTGGACTTTGGACTACCGGACTTTCTGGGCTGAGTGATAAGGAGGGTCACCTGCTTCAGTTTCAAAAAAGCCTAAGAGGGAATTAAGGTCCATTTTAGCAAGAGTCAAAAGTTGCAAGGAAACTAGGATTGTGAAAGCGCAAACCACTGGGGCATGTGCCACAGTCAAGTTTTTTAAAAAAATACATAAATGGCTTCCCTTAATCTAAATTCTAAACCACAGCAGGGTGTAGAAGTGACTACGTTGATATTTTTATGATTTTTCCCTGATGAAGCTAAAAATGGGCATCGCAAAGAGGCATAGTGAAGTGCTTTAGAGTCAAGTGGGTGGGCTTTTCAACAGTGGAAGTTTAGGACCAGCAGGCATACTCAAAAGCATGGGCTCCTGTACCCAAATCAGTCTTGAGCTCATACCGTGCTCAGCAATCCCTTCAGAGTTCAGAGGGATGGAGGGTCCCCTGCATTCCCAACACCTGCTCTAGGACGGTCACTGATAATAGCAGCCCCAGGAATCGGCAACCTGGTAATGGGGAACAGCATTAGGGGCAGGTAGTTTTACCTACAAATTTTACATGGATTATAATAGTGATGACGCTGTTCGCTGTTCCTCCTTAACACCGAGAATGGTGCCTGCTCTGTTGGGATCAATACTTGGTGAATGAACCTGCTGCTACATTGACCTATACTGTGATATGCTTATTTTAATGTCCTTCAGAACATCATTACATTGCATTTATAAGTTCAGTCACTCTGTATTGTAGACATCGTGCTACACATTTTACATGTGGGTCTCCGAAAGGCTATGCAACTTGCCTAAGCAAGACATTGAGCTGAGTCTAAAATTTCAATAGCCATGTTCAATCCTGTCTTATCCTCAATCCTGAAATCAAGAACTAATAAGGAACTTTTTGACAATGGCCCTGATGACAAGATTAAACTGTCCTGTGTTTATTCAGGCATTGAGTAGTGAGCACCTTCTAGTGTATGCCAAGGACTTTGCCAGATTCTCAGAAGACGTGCACGAAGACATGAGTTCTTGTCCCCCAAAAGTTATGTAAATTGGTATTATACAGAGCTCTGAGCAGTGTTTCGCAGAGATGCATAAGGTACTGTGGACCAGTAGGAGAGAGGAGATATATGTATCCCTTCTCCTTCAAACACATCATAAAGCTATGAATTAAGATGCTAGACCCTTGGGTGGATTCTCGGGCAGAGATTCAACTGATATCACATCACATGATGATGTCTCTCTCACTCATGTGTTATACTCACTGTCTCAGTCTCATTTGTCATTTCCAACTTCGGTAAACTCTCATCCCCTTTCCAGGTTAAACACTGGTTTTATTTGAGGTTAAAAATTGTATGTTAAAAATCTCTGTTCTCAGATATTTCATTTTCTAATCTTACAATCATTTTTAACTGTCACATTCATGTTAAATTATGGAACAGTTAAAGCGGTTCACTAAAAGACAATGGAAGAATGATACATATCACATAAAAGACCTTTTCAACTATCCTACTCCTGTCTGTGTCCCAGCATCAGATACTTTCTATTTATACAAGCAATTCTTGAGTCACAGAGAAAATTCTTGATGCCATGCAAGTCTTAAATTACATCAAGGGCATTTTTTTTCTTTCTCCTTTTAATTACTGTCATCTAATTCCATCACGGGGAATTCAATTTTTCTTGTCTGGGGGGATACCAGGGATCAAACTCAGGTCCTTGCACTTGCGAGGCAGGCTGCTCAACCACTGAGTAACTCCCTGGCCCAACTTTTCCTATCTTTATAAGAGTGCACATGTTGTAAATGTTAGGGTCATTTTTATGATAATTAGAAGCACTTTAGAAGAAGCTAACAAAAGCAAACAAGCTGCAGATTCTAATTAAACAAGCTGCTAATTCCGGTTTACTTTCTTTTTATTTACAGGAAACAGCCAACAACTTTTGTCTGTTTATACCAAAATACTTCCCCACCTGCTGGATCCTGTCAGGCATTTCCTGCCATGGCAGTCATAAAATAAAGATATTTCTTGGAGTTTACTGTTCTGAAAAATTGTAAAAACTAGTTTGAAAAATAGCTAAATTCTTATTCCAACTGTTAGCAAACTATGTGGGAACTTTTTTGTAGCTACAAGAGTTGGCTGAAAGTAAAGAAACATTACTATTCAACTCTTACAGCTCACGTCTAATTGTAATTCACTAAAACTTTTGCTAAAAAAACTGATAAAAAGTTTATAGTAGTCATAACTTTGTCACTCTGATGCCACTCAAATATATATATATATATATATTACAGCTACTGGATGGATATTGACAATAGCTAAATTTTCTATATCCCAGTATTTTTCTAAGTACTCTTCATACATAAAATCATTTTGTCATCACAAGTCAGTTTAGTTTACAGTAGAGGAATCAGATAAATTTACTGCCAAGGACCCATGTCAAATAAATAGAATTAAAAGTCAAGTATAGCACTATCCAATACAATGTAAGCCACATGTGATTTTCAACTTAATAGTTACATTTAAAAATAGCTGGTCAAATCTAATTCATTTTATTTAATGATTCCAAAATACTATTAGCATGTCATTAATTCTAAAAGATACTTTACATTCTTTTATGGATGCTACATTTTAAAAATTCAATCTGTATTTACATTTATGGAGCCTCTTTCTGCACTAGCCAAGCACCCTGCAAGAGCTCAATTTGCAGGAGTGGAGAGCAGCTACTACGTTTTGATGCAGCATTCAAGCCTAGGCTAGATTGTTTGGTTTTCCATTTTTTGGTTTGACATCTGACCCGGAATAACTTCAGTGGTATATCTTGTTGATCAGTTTGGTAAAGTAAGACTACATAATTATACATTGTGTCTAAATATGAGTATACTGGGTCCGTACTGACTTCCGAGTGTGCATCATAAACAAGCTGACAATTAAATCTCACCTGGCTTTGACAGACTTGGAAGCCCAATCACAGGGATCATCCTAGCCCTGTGCTAGCTGTTCACACATTACCATGTGCCTTGGTTCCACTCTATGCCACCAGTGCCTCTCTTCCTCTTTCCCCCATGGCCACCCACTTCCTTCTGCTTGGGTGTGAGGCTTTCTTTTCACCAGAGATGCAAATGAAAACATTGCTGAGATGCCACCTCACCCAGAAAGAATGGCTACTCTCAAGAAATCCACCAATAACAAATGCTGGCAGGGCTGTGGGGAGAAAGGAACCCTGCTTCACTTTTGGTTGGGAGTGCAAACTGGTGAAACTGTAAATCCGTATGGAGATACCTCAAACTACGATTTGAGGTCCATTTGACCCAGCTATTTCCCTGCTGGGTATCTTCCCAAAAGAATTAAGACTCATACAACAGTGATAAATATATATACACACCCCTGTTTATAGTGGCACAGTTTGTAGTAGCTAAAACTTGGAAATAGCCCAATTACCCATCAACTGGAGAACAGATAAAGATGTGATTTTTTTATAAAGTGGAGTACTACTCAGCCATAAAAATAAGTAGAGACATATATAGCTAAAGATATGCATATTGAGGCCATACTCTTAAGTGAAATAAAAGGACACACCTGTGTAAATACCAAATAGTTTCTCTGGTGTGAAAAACTGAGGATCAAAATGTATAATTGATATTGTGCAATAGGAAGAAAAGGTCTGAAAGAGTAAAGGAAGTGGAGGAGAGGAAGGGGAAAGCAATAAATGAGAAAAGGAAAAAATGGAAATAAAGTCTGTAAATGAGGGTTGGAAGGGTTGAAGGGAAGAGGGGAGGGTAGGGGAATGGGAAAATAAAAACCAAGATGTATCATGTAAAGGTACAAATTCCCAATGACGAATGTCATAGTGTATACATAAAATGTACCAATAAACTTAATGAATAAAATGGTCCTATATTTTGTCCTAATTTTGCAGTTAAACATTTCCAATTATGAAAAATTATGCTTTGTATTTGCTAAAATATGTAACTAAATTCTGCTATCAAGTGAGAAACCACACCATCAGAAGGAAGACTCAGACAAACAAAAAGGTTTTTAGGCAGTTTAGAGAGGGTCTGAAAAAAAGAAGGAATTTTCCAGTCTTTGATGTTTTCAGTGCATCTCAACTAAAAGGAAAGATTTCAGCGGTGTTTCTTCAGAGATAACTGCTTTTTGCTGTATAATTCCAGCAAGTATACAAACTTGAGTCACCACTTCACAGAGATAAACTGAAGAGTCCTAACCTATTTATATTTTACCCACCACTTCCAAGGGCTGAACCTCTGGTAGCCCAGTCCTGCGAAGCAGGTTGCCCAGTGGTGCAGTAATGATTCCCCAAATCAAAGTTAAATTCCCTGTCACTAAGTTGGGTGATCTTGGACAAGTTACATAGCCTCATCTCTGAAATAAAGGAAGGCAGTACCTTTGTCACAGGTATATTATGAAGACTATATCAGATCAAGTAGGAAAGAATTCTGTCCTGTAGTAACTACTCGACAAATGCTTACCATTTATTATCAGACATTGAATAAGGAAGAGAAGATAGAAGAATATTGTATAAACCTCTTTACTTTTTACATGGCAGTGATTTTTATGTATTATACATCTGATGTATCCAGACTTTTTCCTCTGGTCAACATCACATAATCTAAAATTATTTGATGATGTGTTCTGTAAAGCAGAAGAAAATTTCTTTACTGGGGCAATGAAGATTATTCTTGTTAGGGAGTCTGTTTCTATTGGCCGTGTTATTGGCCATGTAACTTTTCGATTAGTTCTTGGTGGAATTCTAGGAGGATGTGCCAGCAGAGGCTTTAATCACGTTCTCAATATCAGTATAATTAGAAATACAGGCCTCTAACATCACAGCTCGAGCTGTCAGACCCAGCGATCTCTTTAACCGACAAATAGTAACTCCACCTGGGCCGTGTAGCTCAACATGGGAGAAATACCTTTCTCTTGAAGATTTTACTCTGGTAATCAACACTGTATTACGCTTACCCCGGGTGAAAACCCCACGCACACATTAGACCTCCATTGATTCAGGCTTGGACTGCACTAAATTACAGCTGAGCAGCCTCTGAAATTTCGCACGTATTGCAAAGGTGGGTGGAGATGCGCAGTCGCACTGAACATGTCTGTAGACATCTGTTGTCATTACCAAGTGGCGTTATCTTCTCCCTGCTCTTTGCTGTCTCCATCAAGGTGAAGAAAGCAGCAAGGAAGCTTCATATGGAATATGAAATGCACAGCCGCAGAGGTCCCTTGATGGATCCGATACAGGTATCCCAGGGCTGGAACCATTGGTAAGGGATGGATGTGATAGTTCCTGGAGGCATCGAGCTCTTCTGGGGTAAAAGCTGTTCCTGGGCGACTTAGCACATCACAAGATTGGGAAGGAGAAGTTTCCCCTGCTTCTCTTTATAGAGAACTGAGACTGCTTCACAGCCATCTGACCGTGACCTCCTGTAACCTCTTTCACTACCAACTCTTACCAGGACTGTCAGAGTTCCTCTTTCCTTCAAGCCTCCCTCCAAGCTGGTCTCTTGTGAGCCTTTTATCTTAGAGCATCCCTAAATGCCTTCTTTAACTTAGTTCACCTTTTCTGGTTGCATGGGAACAGGAAAGCAGGAACACCCAGTGGAGCTGTTGACTGGTTCCTGGCCAAGAATGCTCAAGAAACTTCAGCAAAGGAAACTGAGTGCAGCCTTTTCCCAGAGTAAGTTCTGTCTGCGCACTCTTTCCGCGCTCTGAGAGGTCATCTCTTGCCAAAGAGCACCTGACCCCAGTAGATGTCCAAAGATCACAGCACAAGAGTGTTTGAGATATTAGGGCACCTGTAAAAGCTACTTGAAGCTTTGTTGGCCCTCACACAAATCAGGTGTTGTGCATTGGATCTTAGGTGCTTCCGAGAGGCTCACGTGCTAAAGCCTTCCTTTTAGCTTGTGGTTCCTGTTTGCTTTACTATTCCCTGGAAAATTCCTTTCAACCATAGCCCATAAAACCTTGCAAACAAAGCTGTTACTTGAGATAATGCATTGATAGAAGACTGACATGAGCTAACTTGGGCAGGGAGAAAAATCACAAGAATGCACGAGCAGGCAGACAAGACAATGGGACTAAATACAAAGCGTTGGATATTCATTTGATTATATTTTTAAAATGTAGAACTAAGTTGTGCAAGATGCTATATTAAGTGCTTTATAAACATTAATTTAATCTCAAGCCTAATCTGACCGATCCAGAGTCCAGATTCTTACCTAGTTTTGCACTGTTTTCATTAATGACGGCACATAAACATACTGGAAAATAGTGGCATGAAACTTAAGTATGGAAGATAACCCATATTTAATAACTTGTCCAGGATAAATCATAGTTCAAATCTAGTTGAAAATTCACAGAACAGATTATACAGAAAGGTGTTAGAAGATGTCTTATTTTTCCCAATGGCAAGAGAAACCTTGATTCAATTTACCTATTAAAAATGATCTGGGAGGCCAAGAATTTAGCTCAGTGGTTCCACCTCCTGCCTTGCAAGTGCAGGGACCCAAGTTTTGATCCCGGGTACCAAAAAAAAAAAGAGATTTGGGCTGGGGACTTGTCGCAAGCCGCGACGTCAGGATCCTGCCAGCAGGTCCTAAACCTGAAAGGATGAGGACAGAGACGGGAGACACTTTTCCTCTCATGTTGCTTGCCTGCTTGCTTGCTTTATTACAGAACCTCTCCCTTTTATATTCTCCAGCTGCATGGAAGCGAGGGCTGCACAGGAGCGAGGGAGTGAGAGTACCGCCCACACATTCCAGAGGGAAACAATAACCATTATGGGTTACATCTGCTACCAGCTGAACTCACCCGTGGCTATGGGCGAGAGCACGTCTGTGCCAGCGAGGTGACTCAAAGTTCAATCATGGCTAGGCCTGTGTCAAGGCTCACCATAATGGCTCGCCATAGGGACTTAGCTCAGTGGCACTGTGCCTGCCTCACAAGGTTTG